CCCCAGGTTATTGTTGGGCAGGTCAGCTGGGAGTGGGAGATCTGGCTTTCCAAGAGCCACCTGCATGTCCGCTGCCTTGGAGGACTGGGCAGAGAGGAAACAAGATCACAGGCCAGGGAGGCTTGCGGGGCTCAGCCGGTTAAGCCTCTGCCTTGGGCTCAGGTCATGATCCCAGCGTCTTGGGATCAAGCCCCGTATCCTACTCCTTGCTCCGCAGGGAGCCTGCTTCTCTCTCTGGCTCTGCCTGCCACTCTGCCTGCCTGTGCTCTCGGTCTCTGACAAACAAATAAGTTAAAAAAAAAAAAAAAAAGATCACAGGCCAAAGGCCCCATCCTCTGACACTGGGGCAGAGTGGTGGCCCTTGGCCAGCTGCTGGGCCGGCCCTGTCTGCCCCCAGCCCCACCCCTGCCCCCACCTTGGGGACTTCCAGTGACCGATCCATGGGAGACAGGACACGCACGCCCCATGTCGGCTGAGGCACCCACAGCCAAGCAGGCAGGGCAGCCCAGGACTCCTGGCTACACCCACCCCTGCTTTCTCTTCTCCCTTCCCTCCCCCACCCCCATGGAGGACAGCCGCCCTGGCTCCATTCCCAGGACTGCTGAGCCACCGGAATGGAGCGGGCTGTGAGTCAGTCAGCAGGAAGGGACACTTACAGCCACTTGCATCAGACGTTCCTGCCGCATGGCCCCACAGCCAGAAGCCCCAGCTCGTGACCCCCCCACTTCTCTGGGGTGTTCTTGGAGCTTGGGGGTTCCTGTCCATGGAGGGCCAGACAGAAGGGAATATGTGGGGAGGGTACAGGCCAGGTGGGGCGCCACTTGTCCCTATGCCCACAGCCACCCTTGCTCCAAATGCCAGTCCTTACTTACCCCAACACCGGGATCCTCGTTAGAAGTCGCACTGCGACCCCGGTCCTCCCACACCAGCTCAGGGCTTTAGGGCAGCCCTGAGTTCCTCTGTGAGTCAGGGGCCTGGCTCTGAGCAAAAGAGGGAGAAGCCCAGCCCTTCCCCTAAAGGCACTGGCCTGTGAGGGTACTGCAGAGGTCCCAGCACTGTCTACGCACCGTCCGCTCAGCCCCCAGCCCCACGCACGGGCCCCCACTGCTCTCTCCTGTGTGTGCACACACCTCCACTCAGTTCCCACGTGTGCACAGGCTCTGCCCTACACAGATCCAGGCTCCGCGCTTCTCCAAACGTGCACAGACACACGTGCACGCCCACATCTGGTCATACTCACACGCACGTCAAACTGGGGCCTTGTTTTTAGTGTTGCGGGAGAAAGGTCTTTGCCATCGCCTCCCATAGGACTGTCAGGTAAAATACAGGACACCAGGTGCCATTCCAATTTCACATAAACAATGAATAACTGTTTAGCTGTTTGGGATATACTTACGCCTTTACTGAAAAATATTCCTTGTTTATCTGAGATTTCAAATGTAACTGGGTGTTCTGTAGTCTCTTGGCTCAATCTGGGATCTCTGTCTGCTGGGTCGTGGAGGCCTGAGCTTACTGGATTCCCCCAGACACTGCCCAGGAGGTCAACACAGCACACCCAAGCCCCCCACACCCCAGGGCTCTGGCTGCTTAGCCAGGGGCCTGCCAGAAGGGACACCACCCATCACAGCCAGCTGGCCTCCTGGCTCAAAGGAGGCAGGGGGAAGCAGGGGCCCTAAGGGGGAGAAGTCAGGCCCCGCCTGGTGTCTCCTCTGGGGTTTGGGGGAGTCCTGGGCTCTACCTGCCCTGCGCACTGGCTCTCTCTGTCCTTCGCCTTGGCTGGAACAGCTCCTCCCCTCCCTGCGCCCCACTGTTGATCGCCAGGAGCTGGGCAGGTGTGAGGGGCGGGGCCCCGGCCTGGTCTTCCGGCCTCACTTGCCTGGCAGACCACCTCCCAACCCCCAGGGCAGGTCAGAGGAACCTGGGATCCAAGGAGAGGTGGGCAGGGTAGCTGGCAGATATCCCTAACCCCCTTTCCCTCCCTGGCCCCTGGGCACCCAGCACTTCTGGGAGCTTGGCCTAGGAACAGGGCCTTCCTAGAGGAGGAAGACTGACTGGCTGGGTCTGCGGCTGGCCCGCAGCTGGACAGGGCTCGGGTCTGCGAGCCCGCAGGCTGGGCCCAGAAGTCCCTCCACTTCCCCATTCCCACTGGCAGCCCCCATCGCCCCCAGAGCAGGCCAGGCTGGGGTGGGCCTGGCTACCTCTCCTTGCTCAGCCTAAGTCAGGCACTCACAGGCCCCTGTCCCAGGGTCAGACCCGGGGCTCAGACCTGGGGTCTCAGAACCCTCGGTGGGGTGGGTGGGGGGGAGGGTGGTCGGCCCTGACCTGCTCAGGGGATGTGTGTGGACTAACTGGGCACCCCGCTGTCAGCAACGGACACACACATGTGCGCACTCCTCGAGCTGTGCAGAGAAGCCCGTGCCCGTGTGCACATCACACACGGCCCCACCGGTGCGGACAGGCCCTGTGCGCACCACGATCTACCCGCGCCAGCTTTCACAGAAGGGTGTGCTCCCCTCGTGGTCCCCACCTGCTCACCCACAGGGCGAGCAGGGGTTACAGGACTCCGCTCACTGGGTGGGCAGAAGCAGGGGGTCCCTTGGGGGGGGTGTGAGCCTGCCCCCCCCCCGGCAGGAACACCGGGTGAGGTCCGGGGACATTTGTGGTTGTCATAACTGGGTGTGCTGGTGCATCAGGTGGGTGGGGGCCACAGTGCCCAGGACGGCTCCCACAGAGAATGACCGGCCCCTATGTCACTAGTGCCGAGGGCAGCCCCTGTGGGAAAGATCCCAGAGGTAGGGGCCAGCCCCCCGCCCCTACTTCCCATCTACAGCACGGCGCCCGCGGAGGAAGCAGCTGTGTGGACTGTGTGCGGGTAAGGCAGCTTGTCTGAACAGCGCCCAGAGCTGGGGACAAGCCTGCCCCCTCCCCCACCGGCCAGGCTCCAGGATCAGGACCCCAGGACCTGAGCTTGGCTGCCCTGGGAAGACGGGCCAAGGGCAGGCCTTCGTTCGTGTCTGCTCCCCGAGGTCCGTGTGAATGGCAACCCCCGCAGGTCCGCACAGGAGGGTGAACATGGCTAAACACCCACCCTGCGGTGTGGACCTCCTTCACTGCTGTGGATTGAATCGCGGTCCCCAGAACCCAACCCTTGGAACCTGTGAATGTGGCATCTGGACACGGGGCCTCGTTAGGTGGAATTCGTTAAGATGAGGTTGTATGGGAAGGGTGAGGGCAGAGTTGCCAAGCAGACAGCTGCCTGAAGCGGGGGTGGGGACCCCGGCAAGGCCTCTGGGGGCCTAGGGACTGTGGCACTCTTGAAGACCGCCAGCCACCAGGGAAGCCGGGAGAAGCAGGAAGGATCCTCCCTGGGAACCTTCCGGGAGGGTGTGGCCCCGCCTAGACCTTGATTTCAGACTCCTGGTCTCCCGAATCTGAGAGCAGAAATTTCTGCTGTTTGAAGTCTCCTGGTGTGTGAGAAGTTAACACACTTCAACCCCTGTACACGCAGACACAGACACACACCCCTTTGCACACACACGTGTACACACACTCAAACACACCCAGTCTTTTCAGCAGTATTCAGGAAGCACTTGCTGTATCCCAGGCCCTGTGCTGGGCTCTGGACAGCCCATGGACAGATATGTGCTGTCATGGAGTTGAGCTTCTGAGGAAGGACAGTGGCCCTTCCGTACCCACCTGAGCCCGGCAGGGGATAGAGAGGGCCCTGGCCTGAGGGCAGGAGTGGGAGGGGACAGCTGGGAGAGGAGGGAGGGAGAATGAGGAGACTTCTCCCAGGCAAGCAGGTCTGACGGCCCCACCCCAGGCACCTGGAGCAGACCTGTATGTCTACACACACACACACACACACACACACACACACACACACACGCAGGGGGCGGAGATGGGGCGGGAGTGGGGGGCTGGTGCTGGCTGAGGTCAGGTGTGGCCTTGGCGGGGGCACATAGGGGCTGCCCCACTAGAAGGGGACCATTCAGCTTCACGTCAGTGGGGCCTGGTTGGGGGACAACTAGGTATGGGAGGCAAAAAGCCTCTAGTAGGACAAGCAGCGTGGAGGACAGGGAGGTTGGTCCAGCCCACAAACGCGCACTTCCGTGTGCCCAGGGTACGGGAAGTCTGAGGGCTCTACAACACAGTGCTTTGGGGACAGGGAGCTGGCCTAGCTCAGGAAGGACTGATTCTACCCAAGTCCGGGTCAGGGCGGGGGCTGGGGGGCAACAAAAAACCCCCTGTCCTGGCTGCCCCCAACCTTTGGGCTCTTTCTTGGTTCTGGGCCCCTGCTCTCTCTGAAACGTTCCTTTGCAGGACTGAAGGAAGGTCTTTCATAGATCTGTCCCCATCCCAGTCGTTCTCTTTCTCTGCCAACTATAGGGCAACCCCCTGGGGGGCTCCCTGGAGGAGGCAGCTGGGGCTCAAAGCCTTTTGGGGTGCACCAGCAGGACAGCCAGATCCAGGATCAGGGAGAGGCACCAGGGGGTCATGGCAGCTTGTAGGATCAATCAAGACAGAGCCACAGCACGTTCTGGGATTGGAAAGCTGCAAGAGAGCCATGTATGTTCTAGGAAAGGGAAGTCGCCCAAAGGAGTCAGTGTATCCCAGGCCCTGGCCGGCTTCCTGGGGGTATTGCCACATGGCAGAGCGCGGCTCCAGCTTGGCGCCAGGGACCCACGGGCCTCCCAGGCAGGCAGCCCCTCCACCACCCACCCACACCCCTGCCGGCAACGGTCAGCAACCCTCCGGATCCTTCCCCCACAAGCCCCGCGCACCTCACCGCGCAGGCGCGCGGACACCCCTCACGGCCCGAGTGCGCAGCCGCACTTGGCCCGAAGGGCCCTCCAGCCCCGCCCCCGCTGAGCGCGTGTGGGAGGGGCGGGCGGGGGCGGGGCATGCATGTGGGGCGGGGCGAAGCCTGGCCTATAAAGGCAGCGGCGAGGCGGCGCGCCCGGCTCCTCTCGGCGGTGGCGGCGGCAGCGGCCCAGGCAGAGGAGTCCGCGGTGGTGGCGGCGGTGGCGGCGCTGTTCCCCGCGCGGTCCGCGCAGCGGGCTCCGGGCTGCGTGTCTCGGGCGGCGGCGGCGGCAGTCCGACCCCGGCCCGAGCCCGACCCCGGTGAGTGCGGCCCGGCGACCCTGGCCCGGTCCCGACAGGGTCTCGGGGATCGGGCCCCACGGAGCGTCGGCGGCCCGGGCTCCCGGCGCTCTGGCCGCAGCTACTCACGCTCTCCTTTGTCTGCTCCCGCCTGCAGGGTCCCTTCCCCGGCCGCCCCCCGCCCACGGGCCGCCCCCCCGGGCCCGCCGTCCCCTCCCCCGCTGGCGGGGCCCGGACAGAAGATGGTGCAGAAGAAAACAACCGAACTTCAGGGCTTCCACCGTTCGTTCAAGGTGAGGGCCGGGTGGGCTTGGGGTTGCCTGGGGCTGGACCGGTCGAGTGGCCGGTGCGGGGCGCGTAGCCCCCCCCTCAGGATCCCCCCAACTCTGGGGCTCGTGCCTGCCTTTCTCCCTGCATCTGGGGCTGCCCCAATCGCGTGTGCACTGGTGGTGGGGGATGGTCAGTGGGCCACAGGCCAGGCCCCAGCACCTTGGGGACTGTGGGATCTTTCCTCCAAGAAACCCAAGTGGGGCCGGGGCCCGCAGCCCCTAGGGGCACCTGGCTGTTTGTCCCCTGCAAACCCCAGCCAGGGAGCCTAGCAGACCACAGTCCAGATGTCTGGGCCCTCAGCCTGTGGGTCTGTGGGGTCTTTCCTCCAGGGATCTGAGGTAGGGCTGCAGGTCCCCAAAAGCCCTCCTAGGTGGTCTACCGAACAGGGGAGTGGATTGGCTGCCCCCCCAGCCCTGCACCTCCCAGACACTCCAGGCCCAAGTGCTATTTCCTGTGGGAACGGGAAGTTTCTGCGGTGGCCCCGCTGCTGCAGCCGAGTCCTGGTCTCAGATGAGCAAGTTGGCGTGGGGGGGTGCGGGCAGGTGCTGGGCTGGGGCCCCGCAGGGCTGGCTCAGGGGACGCAGTGATGTCAACGGCCGCCCCACCCCGCCAGCCGCGTTATGTAATGGCTTCCCTGGGCCTCCTTGGGCAGAGACCTGTTGCCCTGTAAAGAAGGCAGGACCTGGGTGTGTGTGCAGGCGTGCGCACGCGTGTGTGTGCGTGTGTGTGTGTGTGTGTACACACAGGCGCGCGGCGCACCGGGGTGGGAGGAGCAAGCTGAGACTGTTTGGGTTAGAATTCCCAGGCCTGTCCAGCCAGCATCTCAGGCCAGCGTGCCCCACCCCTGCCCACATGCCTGTCATCTGTGCGCTTCCCCCACACACCCCAGGGCAGCAACAGCCTTGGCACATCCAGGTGTCCGGGGCTGGGCTGAAGTGGGGGGGGGGGTGGACCTGAGATGTCACTGGCAGTGGTCTGTCCCCTCCTGGTGCTGGCCAGTAGCTGAGACAGGGTCAATGTGAGGGGCTAGCACCGTGGCCAAAGCAAACTCGAAGTTTCTGGATGGTTCCAGCTGCCTCCTGCCAAGGCCTGCTGACTGGAGGCCTGAAGCCTGCCCTAGGCCCAGCCCACCCACATTGCTTGGGACCAGAGGCTTTGCCCAGGTGGGACGACAGGAGTGCTGAGGGGGTGGGAGGAGCACTGGATGGGGAGCCTCAGCTCTGAGATGGCCCTCCCGGCTACTCTAGGACTGTCATCCCAGTACACTAAGGTTGCTCTCTTGGGCTGGGGCCAGCTCCCACCCCCCCACTGTCCAGCAGCGGCTCAGCAGGGACAGGTTTCTGCCAGCCATCTCCCAACACACTTTCCCCATTGTAAGCTGGGAAATCGGACGCCCAGAAAGAGCAGGGGTTTGCCCTGGGTCCCCCCAGCACATAGTGACGAGGACACGGGAGCTGGCTCTCCCTGGGGGTGGCCTGGTCACTTTTGCTGTCTCCATGTCAGAGGCTGGGACAGGTATGTGAGGGCGGCGAGGGGACCCAGTAGGCACCTAGGCTCCTCGCGCCCTCCCTCCCATCTCCCCTACAGATGTTTGTCGGGCCTGGGGCTGAGGTCACTAGCCCAAGGTGAGGTGGCTGGTGGGTGACGGTGTTGGCTGCTGAGTGTGGGCCTCTTGTCTTATCATCCCTTCATGTGGTTACCCTGGAGCCCCTCCTTCCAGGTGCGAGGAGTAACCTGGCGCCTGGGGAGGAGTCTTATCGGTGAGCTGATTGCTGGCGCTCCAGCCTGCTGTCCGCCTGCCTCCCCACAGGGGCTGGAGCCCTCAGTGGGCCGGGCAGGGCCAGTGGATGAGCCCTGAGCAGGCTGGCAGGAGGTCTCCCTTCTCCCCGCTCCCCTGCTCAGCCCGGGCCTCCTAGCAACTATCTGCAGGGCGGGTGGGGAGGCTGGGAGGGCCCCTGCGTGTTTTACAGCCGCTCCCTCTGACCTCCACCTGCCCCCCTCTGCTACCGTCCTGACTTCCGGGCGTCCTGTCTGTAGGAATCTGGCCCAGCTCCGGGCCCCTCGGGGTCTCTCTAGGGCTTTCCTGGAGTTTCTTCTCTGGATGACCCACCAGCCAGATAATGGCCCCACTTGTCGTGAGGCCCAGGGAGGGCTAGTGACTGGGCCTGGGTCACCCAGCATCAGCAGCACCACCATGCAACAGAGGCCCCCCCACGCCCACCCGAGGCCCTGGCCACCTAGACTACTGGGGAGCGGGGAGCTGAATTAGAGGCGGCTCCTGAGGGAACCTGGCTGTGCCTCAGCCTCCAAGGCCGCTCACCTCATGCTGGGGCTGTCCGTCCTCACCCTGGACCATGTCCTCTGCAGAGAGTGGTTCCAGCAGTCCTGCGGGGCATACGGGATGGTTCCTCCAACCCCCAGGCGCCTTCCTTCCCCAGTCGTGGGGGCTGCTGGGCAGCCTCGAGTGGACCTCTCTATCACGGGGCCGCTCTCGTGGCTGGGCGTGGGGGCCTGTGAGGGGCTCTGTCGGGGGGTGAAACGGGACAGTGCCGGCTGTGGCCTGGGCAGGGCCAGGCTGAGGGTGGCCGGGGTTTACACTCTCTCCCGAGGTCTTGGAGGCCCATTTTGTGAGCCTGCAGAGTCTGGGGGAATGACACTGTGGGACTGGTGACAGTGGGACCACAGAGGGAGCAGTATGTGGCCAGGAGGGCAGTGGCTGCCCGTTCAGCAGAGGGGAAACAGACCGGAAAGTCCAGGGCCTTGCATGGGAGGCCGTGGGAAAGCAGGCAGGGCCGCCCCTGCTGGGAAGCCCGCCTAGAAGCCGGTGACTCAGCCCCTCCCACTGATGGCCTTGCTGCCTTTGATCCCGGGCAGCACAGGGGCCAGCCGGCTCCGTAGCTTGTCCCCACTCTGCAGCGGTGAACCACTAAGGTGTGAGGCACGGCCGGGGCACCACGGTGACTCACGCCCAGCCCTCTGCCCGCTCACGGGCCCTCCCCACACCGCATCCCCTTCCTGGACGCCCCAAGGGCCCTGGGCTAGGTGGTGGGGGGAGTGGTGACCATTTCCTCACAGTCCGGCAAAGTCAGGCTTTGTTCCCCTTGACTTATGGACACAGGGTGGGCCGCTCTGGGCGGGGCCTGAGCACTCTCGCCTCTCCTCCTCCTACAGGGGCAGAATCCTTTCGAGCTGGCCTTCTCCTTAGACCAGACCCATCACGGGGAGCCCGATTTCAGCCTGGAGCGCCCTGCCCGCCCTGGTGAGGCCCTGAGAGGAAGGGGGGCTTCCCCGGGAGCTGTGGGGGGCCATTGCCTGCTGGGCAGGGTGGGCCTCACCTCCGGGTCTCCCAGTACAGATATGCCCGCGAGCCAGCCCATCGACATCCCGGACGCCAAGAAGAGGGGCAAGAAGAAGAAGCGGTGCCGGGCCACGGACAGCTTCTCCGGCAGGTTCGAGGGTGAGTGGGCGCCAGCGGGGGCGGGGCAGGGAGCGAGATGGGGGCCAGCCTGGGGCAACTCTCACGACCTCCTCCTGCTCCATAGACGTCTACCAGCTACAGGAGGACGTGCTCGGGGAGGGCGCCCACGCCCGAGTGCAGACCTGTGTCAATCTCATCACTAACCAGGAGTACGCGGTCAAGGTGAGTGCCAGCGCCCGGGCGGCTCCCCTTACCTCCGCCCGCAGCGCCTGGGATCTGGCACTGGCGGAGGGTGGCAGGAGGAGGGGAGCTGGCATTCGAGCCCCTGGGCCAGCAGCTGGGGAAAACTAGTGTCTAAAAATGGCCTTAGGGCCAGTGAGTCAGGCCACCCCTGGGAATCTAGGTCAGACTGACCTGAGCCCCCAAGGCTGGGCAGGAAGTGATCACAAGGGCCAGCTCTCTACCAGGCTGCCGGGGGCTTCGGTCAGAGCTGGCTCTTGTCTGCTGAGTCCCCTTGTGCCATTCCTCAGGAGTGACAAGTAGCTCTCCACGCTGGTCACAAGAATGAAAAGGTCACGCTTTACTTGGGGCCCAAGGAGGCTTGGCATATGGGGAAACCAGGGCAGGCCCAGAAGGACCTCTTGGGTGTTCCCATGTGGCCCCTGACCCACGGTGTGGCCAAGTGGTCTGGAAAACTTGTGTTCCTGGGCCAGGTAGTGTGACCCTGTGTTCTGAGAAACCTTCCTGTGATCCGTGGTGACCCTGCCTCTGGGTGGGGTGGGGTCCGAGGAGGCTGGCAGCCCAGGCTGGGGGACCAGGTGCCGCGGGCACTGGATGGTTTGTCTCCAGCACTTTCTGCACTGGGGGATTTCCTGCTCGGGACCCTGCTGGGCAGCCTGGCTTCCTATCACTGTTGGACACTGTGGCTTTCTCACGCTGTTGTGTGACCTCCCGTAAACGTGGGGCCCATGTTTTCCTCCACAAAGGCGGGGTCCTAGCCAGACTGCCCAGAGCTCCTCCAGAGGAGGTGGCTGCTGGCGTTGTGTCAGGAGGCCCTGGAATCTGGTGGCTCTGCCTCTCGGCACAGGTGCTTGTCACCAGACAGGTGGCACAGGGCATGGGCTGGGCCCTGGCAGCAAGTGGCCATCACGCCTGCCTGCTGCAGGAATGAGCTAGGGGGACACATCATGTTCCCCCACAGGCCAGTGTGCCAAACAGGGAATTCTGGGCCGGATGGTGACCTCACCTGCCTCACTGGCCCAGGGAGAGGGGGCCAAAGATCCAGCCTGGGGAGAGGTCCCCAGTGGGGGCCAGGGCTGCCCGGAAAAAGCCAGCAGACATCTTTTTTCCCCACTTCTGGGAGCGAAGATGGCTGGGGCACCCTCCGGTCCTCAGAGCTCCTGGTTGCCTGAGGGGATTGGGGACAGAGGCTGGCTTCTTGAGGCTGAGTCCCAGGGGACTATGCCTGCTCGTTGGCAGGAGGGCCCATCTGGTCACCCTGAGGGACCCCAGGCAGCTGCCCAGACAGTCGTGAAACCGGAGGTGAGACTTGGCACTGAGGCAGGCAGGGACAGCACGGCCGGTGGCCAGGCACCCCAAGGCCCCTCCAGTCCCCTGGGTGGGTTGGGAGCCCACTCAGTGGCCACCAGTGTCCCGGTCAGGGAGGGGAGGCTGCCCAGTTCCAGGGACCCTGACACCCTGAAGGGGCATTCTGTAGGAGCCCCAGACCCCAAACATGCCCCCGAGGCCTGCGGGGTCAGGAGTGGAGAAGGCGCAGCTCTTTCTTTTCTCTCTCTGGCTTGCTTGTGCAGCTTGTTTCTCCCCTGGTGCCACTTGGGAAACATGTTGCCCCTCCCTCCCCCCAAGCTTGTGGTGACGCCATAGTTCTGACTACTGGCGAATTCTGGGCCCCAGAAGAAGAACTCAGCTTCTTAGAACTTAAGATTTGAGAGCTAACGGGGTCCTAGGCATGGCACAGGGTGAATTTCGGGTAGGGGCCTGTGGGCCTTGGAGGGTCTGGCTGACGCAGCTGCTCTGGCTCCTGCCCCACCCCCTTCCAGATCATCGAGAAGCAGCCGGGCCACATTCGGAGTCGGGTTTTCCGGGAGGTGGAGACACTGTACCAGTGCCAGGGACACAGGTAATGTGACCCACCTGGCCACACACTGGGCTCAGAGCCAGCTCTCCGTGGATGAATGGGCCTGAGTAGCTCGTCGTCCCCAGCAAGCATTACAGGAGCGTCCAGTGTGTCCCTATGGGCAGGGTCTCCTGTGGGCAAGAAGGGGTGGGGAAGGGCCGGTGCACAGGGGCGTCAGGAAGCCTTTCTCCTCTCCTGCCTCTCCCAACTCCCTGTGCCCCAGGAACGTTCTAGAGCTGATAGAGTTCTTTGAGGAGGAGGATCGCTTCTACCTGGTGTTTGAGAAGATGCGGGGCGGTACGTAGGGCCTGGGAGACCCTTCCCGCTGGGTAGTAATGGGCTGTGGGCGAGCCACCCGGCAGGACTTCCCAAAGCTGCCCCTCCTGTGCACGGCTTGTGGGGTCTGAACTTGCTGTCCAGGCTTTGGGCCCCAGGAGGCCAGAGTCAGAGTGTCCCTGTGCGGGGGAAGCGGGAGCTGCTGGGCAGTGGCCTGGAGGCGCCCAGGTGACCGTGTGCGCTCTCCCTCCACTGCGGCCTGGCCCCAGGCTCCATCCTGAGCCACATCCACAAGCGGCGGCACTTCAACGAGCTGGAGGCCAGCGTGGTGGTGCAGGACGTGGCCAGTGCCCTGGACTTCCTGCACAACAAAGGTGTGTGGGGTGGTCCCCAGGGGCGGCCCGCCTGGCGCCCGGTCTACCTTCGCCGGGACTCCCGGAAAATGCTCCCGCGGACTCGCCCTGGTTCTCTCTGCAGGCATCGCCCACAGGGACCTAAAGCCAGAAAACATCCTGTGCGAGCACCCCAACCAGGTGAGGGCGCTGGGGAGCGGCCCCCTGCGGCCGGGGCGGGGTGGGCCTGGACCCCCGCCTCAGGGCCTCTGCCCACCCCTCGCAGGTCTCACCCGTCAAGATCTGCGACTTCGACCTGGGCAGCGGCATCAAACTCAACGGGGACTGCTCCCCCATCTCCACTCCGGAGCTGCTCACCCCGGTGAGCCGCGGGCGCGCCCAGACCCGCTCCGGGGCTGCGGTTGCGTAACCTCGAGGTGCTGCCGGCCCAGCGCCGCCGAGCTGGGGCTTTTTGCCTAGCAACAGCCGCTGATTGGCCCCGCGGAAGGGGGCGGGGCGGGGCTGGCTCCCGGCCGCTGATTGGGTGGTGGGGCGGGGCGAGCACCTGCCACCTGTTGATTGGGTGGAGGGGCGGGGCGGGTGTCCTAGCCCGCCTCTGATTGGCCAGGCGGGGGGTGGTCAGGGCGTTGGGCGCTGCGGCCCCGGTGACCCTGCGGCGGGGCCCTCACGTGACGCTGGAAAGTCCTGGCCAGCGCCGCCGCCCATCCCCCTCGCGGGCTCCTGACGCCCGGTTCCGCCCGCAGTGCGGCTCGGCGGAGTACATGGCCCCCGAGGTGGTGGAGGCCTTCAGTGAGGAAGCCAGCATCTACGACAAGCGCTGCGACCTCTGGAGCCTGGGGGTCATTCTCTACATCCTGCTCAGCGGCTACCCGCCCTTTGTGGGCCACTGCGGCAGCGACTGCGGCTGGGACCGCGGCGAGGCCTGCCCGGCCTGCCAGGTGCGCGGGGACCCCGCAACCGCCCCCTGCGCCTCGCGGGGGCCCCCGCACCTGCCCCGTGTGCCCTGTGCGTCCCCTGCGCCCCGCAGGGACCCCACAGCCGCCCCGTGTGCCCCATTCACCCCGTGGGGGCCCCACACCCGCCGCACCCCACGGTGTGCCCAAATCGTGGGTTGGGCCGTCTGGTGTCGTCGTCCCGTCCGGTGTCGTTGTCCCCCCCACCCCCCAGAGCTCACCACTAAGCCGGAGGCGAGCCCAACTCTGGGTCCCGGCAGCCGACCCTTCGCTCCCTTGCTCCCCTGCCCCGCAGAACATGCTGTTTGAGAGCATCCAGGAGGGCAAGTATGAGTTTCCCGAGAAGGACTGGGCCCACATCTCCTTTGCTGCCAAAGACCTCATCTCAAAGCTGCTTGTCCGCGACGCCAAGCAGAGGCTGAGCGCCGCCCAGGTTCTGCAGCACCCTTGGGTGCAGGGGGTGAGTGAGCCCCACGAGGGCCTCCTGTTCCACACGGCCTCTGGGGGCCTGGGGAGGGACTTGGGGTGGGTGTCTGGGAGCCTTGGGGAGCTGCAGCGGCTCCCGCCCACCACGTGGGTCTGGGGCTCTGTCTGGTGGCGGGGCTTGGGCACAGCAGGGAGATGGAGCAGTTGCCACCAGCCAGGGCTTGGGATTGCCTGTACCACTCGGTGAAATGCTGGGCCTTGTGCCCCAGAAGCACCGAGGCCCTTTCTGGCCTGGCCCGCCTGCCCGGAGCAGCAAGCCAAGGTCGTTCAGGGGTCGGGCAGGCCGCAGGCCTCTGGCGGAGCCTGCCAGCCCCCAGCCCAGCTCCCTGTCCCCACCCAGCTGGGGAGAGCCTGCCGGTTTTCTGGCCCGCGGTCAGCGAGCGTGGCTGCCAGTCCAGTCCAGTCCAGGGCAAGGAGGACACAAGGGCAAGGGTCTTAACCAGAAATCGAAGTTGCACTGGGACTCCCCCGGGAGCCAAGCCTGGGGCTCTCCTCTCAGGGCGAGCCGCTGGAGGGGCACCTGTGCCCTTCTGGCACATCAGGAGACCCGGAAGTGGACGCGGGAGGGGGCGGGGAGCAGGTCCCGTGGGCCACTGCTGGACTCCCGCGCCCTCCCGCCCGCCTTGGCCCGGCTCAGTTGCCGCAGGTGCGCCCCTTGACCCCTGGCCCCAGCCAGCTGGGCGCAGGGGTGCCGCTGGGCGCTGCTCCTGAGTCCCGGCCGTCCTGTCCTCACAGTGCGCTCCGGAGAACACACTGCCCACACCTATGGTCCTGCAGAGGTGAGGCTGCCGGGGGCCCGAGTGGGGGCACTGAGTGGGGAGTGGTCAAGGTTGGGCGTTCAAGAAAGACAGGAAGTTTTCTGTCAGTGGGTGGGCTGGGGCGCCATCTGCGTGCCGCTGTGGCCGTGATGGATGGAGCCTCGGTGGGAGGCTGCAGCCCCACCCCCAGGGTACTGCCCAGGGGATCAGGGCCTGCCTGGCAGCCCCCCGCCGACCTCCGTGACCCCCCCCTCCCCAGGAACAGCTGTGCCAAAGAGCTCACGTCGTTCGCAGCCGAGGCCATCGCGGTGAACCGGCAGCTGGCCCAGCGCGAGGAGGATGCGGCGGCGGAGGAGGGGCAGGGCCCGCCCGTGCTCATCCGCGCGGTCTCCCGCTGCCTGCAGCTGTCCCCGCCTGCGCAGAGCAAGCTGGCCCAGCGGCGGCAGCGCGCCAGCCTGTCCGCGGCCCCCGTGGTCCTGGTGGGCGACCACGTGTGACCCCTCTCCCCTGTACATAGGTCACTCCCGCCCCCCCGCCCCCGCCCTATCACATCTGAAGAGGTTTTTTTAAGCTGTTTCCAGCCGGTGACCGGCAGGCTGCCCTCCCCTGGCTGGGCTCCCAGGCGCTGAGCTCAGTCCGGGGGTCTTTTTATATGAGGTTTTTGCTGTTGGGTTTTTTTCTCCTTTTTTCTGCCCCACCCCCATCTCTCCCCCCCTTTAAAGGTGTTAAAAGCAAAGCAGGCGCCTGGGAGAGGATAGGGGAGGCTGCGTGTGGCTGGGCTTGCTGGTCCCTGCTGCCCCGGCCCCGAGGCTCGCCCGTACTGTGAAAGGTCCCCGCCCGCCCACCCGCCCGCCCCGCTGCGACTCAGGAGAGGAGGGCGATTGTCGTCTTCCAGAGCTGGGGGCCCAGGAACGTGCCCCTCCCCAGCCCACACAGTATTTCAGGGACGGGCCCGCCCCACGCCTCCCCCTAGTGACCCAGCAGCTCCTTCCCCCTCACCCCAGAGACACCCTGGTGGCTGGGTGGGGCGGGGTTTCTCAGGTCTCCCTTGTAGCGGGAGGGGGCCTGGGTGCGGGCAGGTGGGCTCCACGGCTGCCCGCTGTGCCCCCCCACCCCGCCTTGGACTGACAATCGGGGCTCTCTCAAACCTGGACCTTAAGCTGCAGCTGATCTCGGGTGGGGGGTGCACCCGCTGCCCCCCCCCCAGGATGGCGGTGCCGCAGGAAGTGGGAGGGGCTGGACAGACGCCCGTCAGCCAACGTGGGGGTCCCAGAGACCCCCTCCCTGGGCACCCGAGTGCCCCTTCTCAGGGCTCAGTCTGACCACGGCCACGTCCCGCCCCTTGTCGCCCTTGGGGTCTGGTGTGGAAGCTCTGTTGGCCCCCTTCCTCCTCAGAGCCAGGGCCCACCCGGGGTCCTGCTGAAGCTGCCCCACCCCCAAGGGCAGCATTTCGACCCACCCACCTTCAGGAAACCGGCCGCTGCTGCCGCGGCGTCCTCCTGGGCACCAGGAATCACGGTGCCCGCCTCTGCCCACCTCGGCGCTGGGCTCATACATCGGGCCTGCCAGGCCTGGGGAGACTGATGCCCCTCCTCGTCCTCGGGAAACACTATGCAATACAGGCCCCCCTTCTCTGCGCACACGCGCTCCTGCCCGCCAGGGAGGGCCCCCTGCGGTCCCCAGCCCAGGCAGCGTGGCCTGGCGTCTGGCCTGGTCTCCACAGCGGCCCAGGGCCTGGAAAGCCTTCTGGCTTCTAGTTCGTCCTGTTCTGTTAATTTTTCAAAGACAGTTGACTTCCTTCCCTGTTCTCGAATACTTGAATGTTGGGGGGCCTCATGGGTGGGGGGGCCCAGATGCCGTTTCTGTGGCAGTCTCCCGTGGCTGGTGGGGACTGCCGCCCCTCCGGCCCCCCACCCGCCCGGATCTGTGGACTGGCCTTTCCAAAGACCCCAGGGCGTGGGAGGCCGCCCCACCCTGTTTCTTGCCCACCAGTGATCCTACATTTTGCAACTGGGGATTCTGCCTTTTTGTAAAAAACAAACAGGCCCCAGCCTGCCACAGGCGCCTTGGCCGTTTTACTCTAGAAAGCCGAGCCGTGAGGAGCTTTGTTCCTTCTTCCCAAAGGTGGGACAGCCACTTCTCTGCCCGCCACATGTCACACAGACCGTGGGAGCCGAGAGGCTGTCAGAACCGTTACTGTGAATGCGCCTGGCCCCCAGGCCGCCCCACACTGGGGGAGGGGAACGGCCACGTTCAATGTTAAGATGTGTAAAAAAGACAAAAAAAAAAAAGTTTTTTTAAAAGTGGGGGGAAAACATCCAAGCACTTTAACCGCCGCACCAGGTGAACTGATAACAGCTCATCTTCCTGACACCAACTGTCAATGCCGGAATTTTGTATTGTTTTGTAAGGATTTAATAAAAGTCGTAAAAACTTGTGTGTCCTCGTCCTGGTTTTCTGTTTTGTAACAAGTGGCCTCCAACCATTACTTGTCCCTGGTGAGGCTGAGTCGGGGGTGGGGACAGGTGCAGCGGGGCTTGGCTGGCAGCTGGTGGGGGTGGCGGGCCCCCTGCTGGTAGGCTGGGCTGGTGGTTGGGAGGGTGGGGGACCTGGGTCCCCTACAGGTGGGGTGTGCCCTGAGCGGTCTCCCAACGTGCTGGATGCCTCCTCCGTCCCCCACGGAACTAAAGTGGAAGCTGCTTTCGGCCTGGCCTTGGACCCTGGCCCTCACCTCCCCACATCCCCGCCACCGGCCTGCTGCAGATCTGAGCTTGGGGAGGAGGAAGGGAGCGCTTCTGGCAGTGCCACTGACTTGGAAGGCCACAACCCAAAAAAAAGTTGGGTTTTGAAAAAAGTCCTACAAACCTGGCCAGACTGTTGTTCCGTGCAGGCCTCTGTGCCGGATAGCCCAGGTCTGACTTTGCATCCTGGCGGGGAGGGAGTGGATCAGGGAGGGCTTCCTGGAGGAGGGAGCCAGTGGGGTGGGGGAGGGGCGGTGACGTCTGGCCCCTGAGGGTGTCACCGGCTGCTTCAGCTTCCCTGTCTGACCAGCAGGGATCGGAGATCGGCCTCAACAAGGAGGCAAGAGCAGGTGGCAGGTGCCTGAGCCGCCCAGCCGCCTACGTTCTGCGTGAACTTCTGGGCCATCTGCGTGGGCTCAAGCTCTGTCCCGGGGGCAGCAGCGTGACGGTGCCTTGCTCCCGCTGCCGGCCGAGGGACGCTCACTCGCGCGTGGGGAACACGTGTATTTGTTCACCGGTCCACGGGTCCTTAGCTTGTCCCCACGTTTTTGGGTGCTGTGAGCTGTGCTGCGGTGAGCAGTCGCCGCTGTCCCTGCGTGGACGGATGCCGCCGAGGGAGCAGGGCACAGGCCCACCTGGATGTCATTTCTGGAAGGACCATCTTGTCATTGTGTGGAGTGTGGACACAGCCCAAAGGGCCTGGTGAGCTGTTGTCACCTGTAAGCCAGCCCAGGGAAGGGTGACAGGCCCAGGCAGGGGGCGCCAGGAGGCCAGAGAGAGAACCAAAAGCGACCTGCGTCAGTAGGGGACCCAGGCGCTCCTGGAGTCCCAGGATGTGGCACAGGGGAGAGGGGACGCTCTCTGGGCTGGTGACAGGCACAGACCTGAGGATCTCCTGGGCAGGAGGTGCCCCGTCCTCCCTGGGAGGCGAGGCTCAGCCAGGAGCACACCCTACTTGGCACGCAGAAGGGAAAACCCAACCCCCGTCCCCAGCATTTGTCCAGCTGCCCCTAGAGGCGTCTCTGGAGCCCCCACAGCTACCCTGCTCCCTCCAGGACCCCCACCCCCACCACCAAGAGCCCCCTCCATCCCTTGGGTCCCTCCCCTATTCCTTGCCCAGCCCAGCATGTGCATGCGTGTGCACCGAGCCCTGGGGGCCACGTACCAAGCCAAGCTCCCGTCCTCCCAGGTGGCACTGAGCCCCGCCTGGCCCTGCCAGGCCCCACCGCTAACCTCTCCCTGTCTCCTCCCGACCCGCAGGCCTGCATCAGGGACGGCTGGATCTTGCAGTTTCCTCTCGGCGGATCCTGCCCCTTCCACCTCTCCCTCCTCCAGGAGCGGCAAGAAAGTCCAGAGCAGAAGGGACTGGGAGCCTTTCCCAGGCTGGTGACGCCCTGGCCCCGTGTCCACCTGGGTCAATGGAGAGGCTGGCTTGGGGCTCACCCCCTGCCCCGGAGCCGTCCAGCCTTGGGCACCCCGGCTGATGCGGGCAGGCGGGCGCTTGTGGACGGGACCGGGACCAAAGCGCCCTGGAAATCTCGTCCGTGACGCGGGTCTGCGCCCTGCACCCCTTTGACAAGGCAGGGACCCAAGCTGATGTTTGGGGTGGATGATGGGGAAATGGGCCAGCATACGGAAGCCGTATTATCCTCACAATTCTGTCTGCAGAGCTGAGACTTTTTAAAAATAAATTTTATTAAAAAGTAATAATAAAGTAGGGTCTCCTGGGTGGCTCGGTAGGCTGAGCATGTGACTCTTGATTTACTCTTGATTTTGGCTCAGGTCCTGATCTCAGGGTGGTGAGATGGAGCCCCGGGCAGGGCAGGGGCTCTGCCCCTCCCGTCTGCCCCTCCCCCACACACGTGTGCACCCTTGCTCACTCGCTCTCAAATAAATAAATAAACAAATAAAGTAGCAACGCACCCACAGACAGACAGGGGCCCTGTGGGTGTCGGAGCTTGGGCTAGGGCACGATGGCGGACGTCTCCTCGTTGTCGTGGGACGGCATTTCCTCTTGGGGTGACGGAACTTTCTGGAGCAAGATGGCAGCGATGGTTGCACGAACAGTGACTACTACATGCCGCTGGTGTGTGCTGTGATCTGCGCCTCGATTCAAGTTAAAAGGCGACCAGAGCGCGTCTGTGTAGGACACGCCAGTGTTCGGGTAACGCACCGAGGGCTAATTTATTACCCCAAGGCGGGGGACGAGGCTGCACAGACGTGCACCGCCCCCCAGGACTGGGGCCTTCTACAGGGTTTGCTCCTGTTTCTCCCCCGTCCCCACGGCAAGCTCTCCCGTAGGCCACCCCAGCCCCAGGCCCTCCTTACCGGTGCTGCCTCCAGAGGGAACGCTTGCTTGCCTGTCCCAGGTTCAGACTCAGCCATGAAGGAAGAGTGCTGGGGTCAAGTCAGACGGGCATTTCCCTCCTCCCCACGCAGGGTCCAGGATTCGCGGCAACCTCGGGAAGATGCTTCAGGGTTTCTGTCCTGCCCGTTATTTCCCCCATGTGGACTCAGTTTTCCCACGTGGAGTATGACAACACCGACCCCGTTTCCCTCTTGAGACCCCCTGTGAGGCAGCAGGAGGCTGGGACCCCAGCAGGGCAGGGAGACAGACTGCTTGCCCGGCCCAGGACACAGAGGCACAGAGACGCAAGAGGAGCAGGGCGGCCCCAGCATCGTGTCCACTCGTGCAAGGTGGCCCCAGAGGGTGTCAGGGCCACAGAAGGTTGTGGGACCAAGCCCTGGTTGCGCCGGACCTGAGCCCCTCAACTCAGTGACTCAGCCCTGCCCAGTCTCTGGTCCTGCAGGGTCCCCCACCTTGAGCCTGGTGCCAGGCACGCAGGGCGAGAAACCGGCTCCTGACCGCTCCAATGGGAGAGCCAGGACCGAGGGGAGGGGACACGGTCCTCTCCCGGGCTTGGAATCAGGGGAGTCCACACACTGCGCCCCCGGCGACAGTCCCTTGTGCTGGGAATCTGCAGCTGGTCCCCCCCACCGCCCGTTGGTAACATTTTGCAAAACCCTGTTACAAAGTCAGGCCCAGGACACCAGCATCCCTGCAGTCCAGCCCAATGGAGAGTGGGGTAGGGGTGTCATAGGTCCAGGGAAGGGGCGTCCCTGTCTCCCACACTTTTCCCTCTGCGGGTGCAGTTCACACCCGTGGTGCCCAGTGGCCCCGGGGGTGTGTCTCTGGGACCCCCACCCTGGAGTGAGGCAAGGAGAGCGCCTCGCCCTGCATTTGGGGCTGGAGCGGGGTACTGGGGGCACTGCCAGCAGCAAAGGGGGCGATGGGGAAACCGGGGCACAGAGCGGTCACGTGCCCGGCCCACGCACGGAGAAGCAGGGTACATGGCCGGAGCCGTGGGACTATGAGGGGCGGCCGCTTCATTCCTGGCCTCTCAGAACACTGTCCCCGCCTGCCTGTCCGTCTGTCCATCCCTCCTGACCCCCTCCCTCCCTTCTGCCTTTCTTTCTGGAATAAAAGCACGTATTTGCTGGAGATCCAGAACTATTTACTTCCCAGAAGGAAAACCCATAAAGGACATTTGTGCTGTGGGTCTTGAAAAATTCACCAGCGAATGAAAGGTTTCCATGCACGGTGTGCGCGCTGGGGGCGGCGATGATGATGTCTGGAGAATTGTAGGGGGCTTCAGTGGGTCCTGTGAGTACGGCCCTCTGGGTCGGGGGGATCCCGGCCCCTCCGTGGGCCCGGATACAAGGCTCGGGAGTGGGGAGAAATGGACCTGGAGGCCTGGGTTTCTCCATGGGGACGGCGGGACCATCTGGGAGGGGAAGGGAGGAGAGGGAGGCCAGGAAGTGGAGGAGGCTGGAGGCCCGCATAGGGTTCCCTCTGTCCCCACTTAGCCCGACGGGCACAACCCACCCTGTGAGGTTTCTCAGGAGAGCTGAGGAGGGCTGGGCTTTGCAGCTGGGTCCGTCGGGGGTTCCAGACCAGACTGAGTGCCCACAGAGGCGCGACAAGGATGGGATGGCATCCCTGCCCATTCTGCTGTGGGGATGTCATACAAAACCAGGACAGGGGAGAGGGGCGAGCTCCGTGGGGGGTTGCCTGACAAAGAATCCCAAACTCACCAGCTTAATGCAACCATTATGTTCTACTCCTGCTTCCGTAGACCAGGAATTTGGGGAGGGTTCAGCGGGATGGTTTGTCCAGGGATGGACCCGAGCCTACAACACGCAGGGAGGGGACCAGACACAGGAGGCCACACGGGTGTGAGTCCACACATGTGACACGTCCAGACCAGGCTCCTCCACCACCGGGAAGGGACTTGTGGGGGCCGGGGGACGTGTGGGGCTGGGGAGTGACGGCTCTGGGGAAAGGGATTCCCAGCAGGTGATGGGAGGGTTCTGGAATTAGGTAGTAGTGACAGTTGTACAACTCGGCAAACATACTGACAACTGAGCGAATGGACCCGAGGACACGGGCTCGGCGAGAGCGGCCAGACCCAGAAGGCCCGTCCTGCAGGACCCCACTCCCGGGAGGGCCCCAGAGGAGTCCCGTCCACGCAGACAGAGAGGAGGGGGTGGGACCGGGGGTGGGGCAAGAGTGGGGAGTCCATGCTTCGTGGGAACGGAGTCTCCATGTGGGGGATGGAAAGTTCTGGAGACGGAGGGAGGGGGTGTGAGTGCTTCCCACCGCGGAGCTGTGCGCGTGGACGGTCAAGGCGGTGCATTCATGTTATGTGCATTTTTATCATAGTAATAAGTTTAGAAAGGTAAAGCAAAAACCAAAACAAGACAACAGAACGCACGTGGATGTATTTCTGGCCCCGTGTCTGGGCGGCTGGGCCGCCACTCATCTCTCCCCACTCCCGGGCTCGCAGCCACAGTCCCCGTGGGGCAGAAGGGACAGGGATCTGGAGTGCCTCCCTCTGTCGAGTCACGGCCCTGAGGTCCAGCACTCTGGGCTGGCCCAGTCTGTAGCTGAGGGGTGACCCGGGCCCCGGCCGTGTCCAGGCCTCTGCCAGGACGGTCCTGGAGCAGGAGTTGGGGGCCGGTGGGGGGAGCTTTCCAGAGAAGGGGGCTCGGAGGACAAGGGAGCCCACCGTGCCTCCTCCGTCACGCTGCACAACTGGCCAGGGAGGAGTCAGCTCCCCTCTTCCCAGAGGGGATGGGCGAGGCTGCCTTTTGTCCACTGGACGTTGACTTCACAACCTTGCGCCAGTGTCCTCCCGGGCCCGGCTGGAGAGCTGCTCCTCTCAGACACAGCGGAGGACAGAGCGAGACGGACGTCCCTACCTCCACAGCGAGGCTGGCTTCCTGCTTGTCCCGTAACCTGGGTCTTGCTCCCTCGCTCAAAGAGACGTTAGGACTCTCGGGCCCCGGAGGCTGCCTCTGGGTCGAGGGGTGGAGGACACGAACCTCAAAGCCCGTCTCGGCAATAAAGAATCTCGTGACACGGAGGACTTTGGATCTGCCAGGTCCCAGGAGAGATAAGAGAAGTGTGAGGAGGGGTGGGTGGAGAGGGGTGGGAACCCAGTCCCTGTGGTTCCTGAGAGTGGCACAAAGTGCTTCCGGAACATTCCAGAATATTCGCGTCTGCTCTAGACTCACCCCTGGTCGGCGTTCCTGGAGTACAGTCAGGCAGGCTGGGAGCTCACTGGGCGTTAGACGGGCCGGTGTCCGCAGTGGTTGGATGTAGGAACAGAATTTGCTCTGAGAGTCGAGACAAGTCAGTGCGTCATCAGACCCATCACCCCGAATCCCAGAGGCCCTTCTGCTTCTTCCAGAAACTGGCTCCCCCGGGGAGTTGTCCCCTTTGCTGTCTCTCCGGGGCTGGGTCTCCCAGCAGCACACAGGGAGGCGGGAACGTACTGGAAGGTTTGTCAGGATTCCCTGGGAAGATCCAGCAGGGCAGGGACTCCCTACGGGGACAACTACCCCCGGTGGCACTGGGCCACGACTGGGGGTGTCTGCGGTTGTCACACTGTGCTGCCCCTGGCATGGGGGTCTGGGGGTGCTGCTCAGCCCCCACAGCGCCTGGGACGCCCCACTAGTGAGGACTATGCAGCCTCCTACATCAGCAGTGCCGAGGCGGGGGCAGAAGCCTCGTGGTGGGGGGGCGCAGAACCAGAGGGCAAGGCTGGTGAGCAAAGGGGGGACATCGCACAAGGTCCCCTAGGGGCAAATCTGGAGAGGACGAGGGTCACACATCAGCTGTCCCTCGTGGGACAGGGGAGCTGGGGTCCCACCCCACACTGGCAGGTCATCAGAGTAGGGCTGCTCCCGTGGGGACGTTACTCCCAGGGTCCCCCGGCTCCCACGAGTTCTGGTGAAGGGGACATCAGCTGCTTGAGGGGCCGAGATCACAGGGCGCCAGTTCGGGTCGGGGGAGCGGCATGAGCAAAGTCCTGGGACCTGGGGGTGGCCCCTCGGCTCCTGCTAGAAACGGACGTCCAGGTGCAGCAGACCGGCAGGAGCCCGAGGTCCAGGCCGCCTACCAGGTGCAGGGCCCGGCGATCTGCTCCCTTCGCTCCCTGTGGCCACTGCCCCCAGGACAGCTGCCCGGGCTGCACCGTGGGAGGAGGACGGGCCTGGGTCGCCCAGCTCCTGGCTGGCGGGCGCCCTGACAGTGCTGCGCACACGCGCCCGCAGGAGCCGAGACCCCCCGCCCCCCAGCCCTGACTTCCCGCAGAGACTAAGCCGCGTGTCCTGGGAGACACCACCTGGAGAAGAGCCACGCTGGGAGAGCAAATGAATTTCGGGAATGATAAACGGCCCTCGGGAGAATAAGTGGGAGCGGTGATAGTTTGTGGCAAAGTCTGGGAGCAGCGCCTGCTTCTCTTCCCCGAGAGGAGACCCTGATCCCCGGAAGGGATCTATGATAATCGTGTTCTTTCGGGAGCCTCCGTTTTCAGGCAGATAAGGGATTTCAGGAGCTCAGACGCTGGCAGCTCCAAGTAATTCTCACACCAAAGTGCCATGTTTTGGGGTAACAGGTCCAGGTCCCCTTCAGTTGCTCCCCTGAAATGTTTTGCCAAACTTTCCTTTTCTTTTCTTGTGTCAGACATTTTTGGTGCGAATGAGTACACCCCTGTGGGACAGCCCCAGTGTCCTAGAGTCGCGCAGTGCCGGGGGGGTGGGGGGGGTTGACCTCCCACCCTGCCCTCCACCGTGGGTCCCCAGCATTGCCGCGGGGTTCCCCCGCTTGGCTGTTTAAGCAGCGCCCTCTAGAGGCCCCGCCAGTGTAGACAGGCCTGGAAGTGGTTCGAAGACCCCCTGCGGCGAAATTCTAGCTCCTTCTCAAGGGCTGGGGCAAGACGACGCACAGGTGTTGGGTGGGCACACTGCACAAAGTGTCAGTCAGACGAGGCGAACAGCCTGTGGAACTTCCCCAGTCACCCCTGGGGCTGGCGTGCCCTCAGCCTCCTGCTTCCGCAGCCCATCTCCGAGTCTTCTGGAGGACGACGGAGCGCAGGGAAAACGTGGCATGTTAAAAGCAAACACTTACTTCTCACATTTCAGAATATTTCCTTCTGCGTTGCCAAGAGATATATGTACATATTTATATGTACATATATATTTATTTATTTTTATAAATTTTACTTATATAATGTGTGTTTTTATGTATTTATACGTTATTTATGTAATATATATATATATATTTAACTGCAATAGAGAAGTTACAACAAGGTGAAACATGGTGGGTCAAACATTACAGATTTTATCTTTTTATTTTTATTTTATTAATTTATTTTAGTTTTTGAAAAGATTGTATTTATTATTTGACAGAGCGAGACACAGCAAGCGAGGGAACACAAGCAAGGGGAGGGGGAGAGGGAGAAGCAGGCTTCCTGCCGAGCAAGGAGCCCGATGTGGGGCTCGATCCCAGGACCCCGGGATCATGACCTGAGCCAAAGGCAGATGCCCAACGGCTGAGCCATCCAGACACCCCTATTTTATTTTTTTAAGAATTTTATTTTTGCGGGGGAGGCCTGAGTGGCTCAGTGGGTCAAGCCGCTGCCTTCGGCTCGGGTCATGATCTCAGGGTCCTGGGATCGAGTCCCGCATCGGGCTCTCTGCTCAGCGGGGAGCCTGCTTCCCTCTCTCTCTCTGCCTGCCTCTCCGTCTACTTGTGATCTCTGTCTGTCAAATAAATAAATTTAAAGATCTTTTAAAAAAAGAATTTTATTTTTTTAAAGATTTTATTTATTTATTTTAAGATTTTATTTATTTATTTGACAGACGGAGATCACAAGTAGGCAGAGAAGCAGGCAGAGGAGGAGGAGGAAGCCGGCTCCCTGCTGAGCAGAGAGCCCAATGCGGGGCTTGATCCCAGGACCCTGGGATCATGACCTGAGCGGAAGGCAGAGGCTTAACCCATTGAGCCACCCAGGCGCCCCTAGGATTTTATTTTTAAGTCATCTCTATACTCAACGTGGAGCTCGAACTCATGACCCTGAAATCGAGAGTCATCCAGTCCACGGACTGAGCAGGTCGGAGATCCCCAGCAGTCACCTACTTTCATCCCTGCAAAGGTCTGGAGTTTTGCAGCCGAAATGGCTAATACTTCGGAATTCCCTGTATTTGCTTGAATAAAATCTACCAGGGGCACCTGGCCGACCCAGTCCGTGGAGCTTGTGACTATCGATCTCATGGTTGTGAGTTTGAGCCCCAACCTGAGCACAGAGATTGTTAAAAATAAAATCTTGAGGGGTGGCTGGGGGGCTCATTTGTTAGGCGTCTGCTTTCGGCTCAGGTCATGGCCTCAGGGTCCTGGGATGGAGCCCCGTGTCGGGCTCCCTGCTCGGCGGGGAGTCTGCTTCCCCCTCTCTTACTCCCCCTGCTTGTGTTCCCTCTCTCGCTGTGTCTCTGTCAATTAAATAAAATCTTAAAAAAAAAAAAAAAAAAAAGATGCTGCCAGGCAGGTGTGGGGCTAGACAAGCCTGGAAGGGAGCTCCCTTGCTCACAAACCCGCCGTCCGCCCGTCGGGAACGGCCTGCCTCTTCCTTCCATTTCTCCTTGTCCAGCATGTACAGGGGCCCATTGGGGACAAACACTGCACCTTGATTTTAGCCCCCTGAGGCCACCACAGCCTTCTGACCTCCAGAATTGTTGGACAGAAATGATTTAAGCCGCTGCGGTTGTGGTATGAGTTACAGCATCCCTGGGAATCTCACACCCACTTGACCCACTGAGCCACTCAGGCCTCCCCCGCAAAAATAAAATTCTTTTTTTTTTTTTTTTAAAGATTTTATTTATTTATTTGAGAGAGAGACAGTGAGAGAAAGCATGAGCAAGGAGAAGGTCAGAGAGAGAAGCAGACTCCCCGTGGAGCTGGGAGCCGGATGCGGGACTCGATCCCGGGACTCCAGGATCATGACCTGAGCCGAAGGCAGTCGTCCAACCAACTGAGCCACCCAGGCGTCCCGCAAAAATAAAATTCTTAAAAAAATAAAATAGGGGTGTCTGGATGGCTCAGACACCAGGACTGGTCCCATGCCCCGTCCCCGAAGCAATCAGCGGGCCGGGCGCTCACGCCCACCCCACAGCTCCTGCCATCTTAGATCTTCATTCCCAACCCTTGGCTGATTGTAGAGACCCTTGATATCACCCCTAGGGTCTGTCCTTGTAGTTTATGCTGACAGGTAAAGTGAACATGAAATCACACAAGCTATAATCAGGACATTCAGAAACTTACATGGTTTGCCGAATGATAAAAGAAAAAGGTAAAATTATATTTTGGGTGAGGGGCTAAAAAATCAAGGTAGGCAGCTACTGAGAAGGGTTTGCCAATATTCTCTGTAAAGGGCTTTGTCTGCCGTTTGGTCTCCGTGGTAACTACTCACATCTGTCCTGGAAGCTGGGAAACAGGCAGAGACAACTCGCAAATGAATGGGCATGTCTCTGTGCCAATAAAGCTTTATTTACAATAAGAAGTGAGGGGCCGGGTCTAGCGCTCAGGCAGGCCATATTCGCTGAGGACACCTGTTTCAGAATATCATTGGAGCTAAATTGGAAACAGCAATAGGAACTCACCCTCTTCAAAATCGATTGTTTCTACCTGATCACTTAGATAGCCATTAGAGGTTCTGCACCAAAAACTAGCGCACGGTCATTGAAGATGTGTCCCCAGTGCCCACCCTGCAGTCATGGGTACTCTTCTCCAACCCCAGGGAATGGGGGTCTCTGGAGAACAGCTGGCTGTGTGTTTTGGGGCAGGGAAGGTGCACTACGGGCTTGGACTATGTCACTGAAAGAAGGCAGGGGTGCCTCTCCACGGGGCAGTGTTGAAGGCACACAGGAGCCCACACAGACATATCCGTCATCAATCATGATTACAATTAATTAAAACTACCCGAGTCTGAATGGCACGAATCCATAATTATCCTCAAAGTGGGGCGGGGGGGAACAAGGATTATACTATATACAGGCCTGATTTGTTCTGGTGAACCATTTCTCAGCACCCCCACATAAAAAATCTGCTATCCTTTTACCACACGGAACAGACTCACAGTGACCCAACTATATAAAAGATCCTATTCTTTGTAAAAACCAACAAGAAATTAAAAAAAAAAAGGGGCCAATAAAGAAATACACTAAAAAGCTTACACTCGTTATTTTCGGATAGTAAGACAATAGGTGATAGTCACGTGCTTTTCTGTATTTTTCTGGCATTTCCAAGATTCCCTCCTTTATACTTCTAGAATGAAAAATTATCCCCGGGTTTGGACTGCCTGTGTCCATGGTTATAAGCTGGTGCTTTGGCCTTGGGTCAATTTCTCACCCCAAAAGATCAGAGTGAGCTGGTGCACAAGGAGGCGTTTTATTCCATCCCTTGGCCAAGGCTGCCGTCGGCCGCACGTCCCATGAGGGGCTGGCAGGTATACAGGTGCCAGATGCCCTTGGCTCTGTCCTCATCCCCAGGGTAGAGGTCATCCCCAGGGGGAGGAGACTGGCTGTCCGTGGAAGGGAAACCGGGAAGGGCTTTAAGCAAAGGCTCTGAGCCCCTGATTAAGCTCGGAGGAGACTGGATTCTACAGGGTAAGGAGGGGTAAGTCCTTGAGGCTGGAGGTTGTCAGGAGAAGCAGGGGCAGTGCAAAGTTATAGCACGGAGTCCCTTGTTCCAAAATTATTACAAATCTCAAGATGGTGACAGCAGAGCATTCCATCAAGCTTGGGGCCCTGGATGACCGCTTGGGCTGGGTGCCCGGGGAAGTTGGCCGTGGTGGCATCCAGGAATGGGGACCCCATTCAAGGTGTGCTTTGGAGGTAAAGAGCTGATCGAGATTTGGGACTGGACACTGAGGTGGGATGTCTTGCCTGTGGCTCTCCTAGGTGTCACCGGGCCATTCACCCCTGCCCCCAACAAAAATCCCTTCTCCATGGGAACGACCAGGCCGAGACTGTGGTGTGTGTGGGGGGGGTGGGGGCTCCCAGTCCGTCATTAGACGCTACATTGTCGCAGATGTTGTGCAAGTGTGTCCTGAAGCGCCCTGTTCAGGTAAGGGCCAGAGGAGAGCCTCACGCCCACCGATGGGGATGGGCCTGTGCCGCCGGCCTTGACCCTTTCACCCGGCCTTCTGGCCACCCTGACGTGGCTCCAGGACCTGGAAGGGAAGACGCTCTTCCTGAGTGCTGGTCGGCGGTCAGCGGCCCTTCCTCCAGGGACCCCTCCCCCAGCGCAGCTCCAGATTTTGCCCCCCGCCCCCGGGTTGCCCAAGGAGCCCAGCTTTATGGTCTCCGACCTCCCCTCTGCGGGAGTGTCCCCTCTGCGGGGCACTGGGGTGCCCTGACACTACGGGCGCGACCAACAGTTTGGGGGTTCGGGCCCCGTCTGCCCCTCGCATCAGGTACCTGGCCCCAAACGCGGCTCGTTTCTCCGCCCCTTCCGTCTGCCCGCCCCCTGCCCGCCCCCTGCCCGCCCCCTCCCCGCCCCTCTGCAATTCCTTCCCCCTCGCCCCGCCCGTCTCCCCGCCCCCACCCCCGTCCTCCCTCCCTCGCCCTTCCCC